CATTGTGTACCATCTTCCACACAAGTTTCAGTGCCTTGGGGATTTAATCGTAACTGGTACAAGATTTGCTCCATCCATTGTATCCAGGATTAGGGCTTAGGGTTTCATCGGGAAATAGTGCATGAGGCGTGGGGGCAGGGATCGCTCTGCAAAAATACAAGGAGAAGGCCAAGCGTAAGTTGAGGGTTCAGGGCTTGGGGAGGGTTGACCCATTCTGATTTTCCCAACTTGCAGAAGATCGACTTGGACGAATTGAGTGACCCATTGGCCCATTGGGGTTGAACCAAATAAGAAAAATCAGATGTTCTCTTTATAACTATACCCAAGAGGAGGATATAACCTTACTCGACATTCGGGGCATACTAACCAACAAGTGTAATAATCATACTATTTCATGCTCTTACCCCCATTTTCAACTATGCATGACTCAGTGACTGAAGGTGAGGGTTACGATTCAGAGATGAGTAGTGTTTTGGTGGTTGAACCTAGTAAGATTATATTCCAAATATGAGATACTATACCCAAAAGGAGGATATAATCTTACTTTATATTGGGTACCATAGTATCCCCAAATAAAATACTACTCAGATCATGCCATATCCTGGAAGCGGCGCACGAGACCTGCCAACAGTCAGCTGAGCACCAGTCTGCTGGCAGCTCAGTGAACCCAGGCTCGTGGGGGAACGATACTGAGCAGAACTGGATTGATCACAGGGCCTGTTGGGACGGCGGCCCGAGGTAGGGCAAAGTTACTGTAACAATGAATGTTTCTAAGCAACGTGGAGCCTAAATGTCTGGAATGGATTTTGGAGCACATTCTCCGAAACAATCTGCAGACTTGAACTAAATGACAACTACTGTGCCTGCTTTCTCGCTATTCTTACTAGTATTCCCATTCCTGCTATTACTACTATTATTGCTATTTAGAGTATTCTTGCGATTATTGCTACTATTACATACTATTAGAATACATACTAGTATTAATATGATCTTTACCATTATTACTATCACTACTACTAGACCCTAAACCCTAAACTTCTTCAGGCCGCTACTCCGTTCGTGGCAGGGAAACCTCTAGAGGCAACTCGAAACCATTCTACCTTAGAGGGTTTAGGGTTTAGGCTCTTAGCAGGGAATGAGGGAATATGTGGGGTTTAGGGTGTAGGGTGTAGGGCTTACTAGGGAATAAGGGAATGTATAAGGTTCAGGCTGTATAGGGCTAGGGGGGAATGAGTATTTTATATGAGGGTTCTATAGGGATATTACCTATCCCCTTATTCCCTAACAACCAGTAGGGTAGTTTGCAGAGCTGGCGCTACTGATGAAATGATCTCATGACTAGCTGCGCTACCTGCCATCCCTACAAGGCCCCGTTGGGTAGTTCCCTGAGCCAACTTGCGAGTACCAGGAGTACCACTCCACACTGTACCGCAGCAGCTGAAGCTTCTGTTCTGGAAGACGGAGGCCTTTTACTGGGCTGCTGTCAAAGAATTGGATTTGCACGGTTTAAGGTTTAGGGTTATATATGAGGCACCATAATTGGGAAATCCTAGGATTTTGCATGTAACCATATAGAAAAAGCTGAGCTCCAATTCCTTACCAGAAACCCAGTTAACATCTTGGCCGAAGTGTGTCACAGAAGCTCTTCTACTTCCTCATGTTCAGTTGGGAATGGGCACATGGGTATGGACTAGTTCGGGGAGTCACCTGGAGGAGTTTTAAGGATGACTATGGGATCTTAAAGCCTCGGCTCCAGCCCCGGCACATTTCAGTCCACAATAGTGGTCATATTAAGGGCTCTCTATATACATATATATATATATAGATATCATATACATATGGATGGTTGTCAAAATTACGGTCCCTTTTTGGGCCCCTATTATAAGACGGCACCTAATATTTAGGGTACCCAACAAGGGGCCATAATTTTGACAACCATCCATATATATAATCGAACTGGACCCAACCCTGACCCTCAACCCTAAACCCTAAACCCTAAACCCTAAAATGCCATTTAAACTTTCAGGTTGGTAGTTCCTGTAGGTGGGTACCCTCATACACAGCTCACATAACTGGGTTGCTCTTAAGGAACTTAGTTTAAGTTACTATATTGGGGAAGCCCTTTTATTTACTGTATATACCCATTATGGTATCTTAATTTCAGTTCCTTAACAGCAACCCAGGGGTCCGGCCTTACATCTACCTGCCGGTTGAAAATAGTTGGAGGGTCAGGGGCACTTAGTAAGTAGGTCAATAATGGGGACAACTGGGTTTATTAGGAGTTATCAATCTATAGTCCTCCTTAAGTAGATACAATATGGCTTTGGGTATGTTATAATAAGATCCCCATAACCCCCTATTGTATCTACTTAAGGGGACTATACTTACTAAATCCCCCTGACCCTATCATTTCCAGCCCCACCAACTGAACACCACCACCTGCAAGTTGCCGCTAGAAACGCACCAGCTGCTGGCCGCAAATCTCCGCGGATATTGCAAGAGTTTGAAGGCTTAGGGTGTTGGGTTTAGAGTTGAACAACAAGGACAAGAGCTATAGGGTTTAGCAACATGTCATGGTAGGAAGCAGGGTCATTGAAATGGCCATAATCTGTACATATCTGCAAGTCGCCCACATGGCTTGCAAGTTGCTCTTCTGTTGAGTGCCTGGCTCAGTCGACCTCCACGGGCTCAGCGTCAGGTGTGTCCTGGCTTCCACTTGGAAGTTTCTGTAAATTCCCTGAGGATGTACGGGCGCGAACTTCCCACATCAGCTTCAACAAGCTAAGCCCCAGGCATCTACACCAGATGCTGTGCATCACGGAGTAAGAAATGCAAAGCGGCATCTGCTTACATGTGCTGAACTTGGACTCCAGGCTCTTTGGAGTTTCCAGTATCCCTACATAACCCCTATGTACCCCCATATGAGCAGCAGTCTCCACTCCTCGCATCCCCCTTAATAAGCCCTGTAATACTCCCGTACATAGTCCCCTATATAGCCTCCCTTTAAGGATTTTAGACCCTAAACCCTGAACTCTAAACCCCAATCCCTGAACCCTAAATCCCAAACCCTAAACCCCAATCCCTAAACACTAAACCTCAAACCCCAAACCCTAGAGCCCCAAACCTTATACCCAAAGCCCTCAACCCTATACCCGCCACATTGTCACATCCCCCCTGTCTTGATAGTCGAGGAGTGCTTTGAGCTCGTTCTTGCAGGTCGAGCTCTTGTTGGCCTGCTGCACCTCCAAGGGATGGGGTTTCTGGTTTAGGATTTAGGGCTTAATTAGGGTTTAGGGTTTGGGATTTGGGGTTTGGGGTTTAGGGGTTGAGGGTTGAGGATTTGGGGTTTAGGGATGAGGGTGGAGGGGAAGTGGGGAGTTCAAGTAAGTACTTTACAGGGGACGAAATGGTTTAGGGCTTAAGGGCTTTGTACGGATGATTATGAAGCGGAGTTGGGAGTTAATGTGGAGGCTTGACCTAAATTGATGCTCCAAAATTGGGTAGATTACTTTGGCGGCCCGTCTTGTAGTAGGACTCCTAATATAAGGCCTTTTTAAGGATTGTGTAGGGATCAGTGTGGAGGATCCCTTCACCCCATTCCCCCGTACTGGGTTTCTGCTAAGGAACATGAAGTGAGTTACTATAACGTGGGGAACCATATTAATTACCCTATATACGCATTATGGTAACTTAATCTAAGTTCCTTAACCCTAAACCCCTACGGCTTAAGCACCCCTAACCCTAAACCCTAAAACCTTGAAAACCCTAAACCCCAAACCCCAAATCCTCAACCCTAAACCCCCTACAGCTTAAGCACCTGCAAGGCGGCATGGTCCGCAAGAGTTTGCCGGGTTTTGTCAGCCAACGCCACGAAGGTCTGCATCGGCTCCGCGAAACATTTAGTCATGGACTCGATGTGCACCATGAGACGTGCCTTTGCCCAATTGGACATCTGGTAACCATGCCTCGGATAGCTGAATTTAGGGTTAGGGCTTAGGGTTTAGGGTTTAGGACAGGTACTGTTGATGGAAAGACTTCTGCACCACCTTGAAACCTTGGGAAGTGCAGTGGTCTAAAACCTCGGGCTTAAGGCGTAGCACTCAATGCATGCTCACGATTGCTGAATTCTGCATTCAAGCATGCAGAGCGCTCCGCCTGAAAACGTCGTGGCGTCCTGCCAAACTCCTCGTCTCTGCCATATGCAACGATTAAGAAGAAGTGTTGCGCAGGCCTCAATGCCGCCTGAGCACGCCTTTCGCAGCTCATGAAGGGTCTGCGAGAGAAGCACCTGCAGCGAGAACTGGACAAGCCTTCTCTGCATTGCTGTTGAGCAACTTAAATTAAGTTGTGATACTGGCGAACCATGCGCAGCTGCCAACAGGGACTGGGGTGGGAAAAGCTCGATGCATTCACATCAGACACATGTGAAGAATCTTTTTCCACGCGCATAGGCTAATGTCAAAATGCTTTACTACGGCCGAACATGTAAAGCTCGTTTCTTTTGCAAACCCTGCTTGAAACAGAAGCCCCCCCAAGCCAAGCAAGATATGAGCAACTCATGCGCATCCATCGACACCAGCCAGCGCAAGCAAACGTTCTGCTGCTCGGAAGCTCATCTTCATGAAATTACCGGTAGCTTGTGCGAGGGCAGGTCTAGACGCACTTTTCAAGAGGTGACCATTGCTGAAACCACTCCGGTAGGGCGACACGGACCTGAAAGAAAACCGAATGCATGGCCGTTTAGAGAACCTGTGCTGTCATGGAGGAAGCCCTGCATGACTTTGTTGCAACACCGGGAATCTTGGCATGCTATCTTCCTGGCTGATTCCGTTCATCAGACCCTCAACCACGCCCTGTAACCCTCAACCCAAACCCAAACCGTAAAGTCGGAACCCCCAAGCCCCTCGAGCCTAAGCCCTAAGCCCTAAACCCCAAACCCTCAGCTCTTCACCCTTAGCCCTTCAACCTCAACCCTTATCCATGAACTGCCATACCCTGACCTTGGCTGCGGGACATTGTCCATCTTCTTCCAAGGCTTCCTGCACCATGCACTTGAGGCACTCTACTTTAGGGCTCAAATCATACATACATTCATACAGCATACATACATAAATACGTAGATACGCAAATATGTGTATATATATATATACATAGGGACATACAAACATACATGTATGTATACGTACATGTACGCATGTACTCATACATGTGGAAGTTTCCCTAAATTACTGTTCCCAAAATGGGGGAAATTTATATAGGGCCCCGTATTAACAGTAACTTAGGACAATCCCCATGTACACTTGAAATCTCCCCAGGAGTCCTGAAGGAGGCTTTGGGAAGATTACAGGGTTTGCCGCATGGATTATCTGAGGGGAAAAGTGTTGAACACCTTCCATGTCAGGACGCCAAGAGGCATTTGTTGCGCCGCAGGAAGTAATTGGAGAAAGGATTGCAGGCACATGGAGGGGGGGCGGGGGTCTTCTCAACACATCGGTGCACCCGTGTATGTATAATCTGCATTATTTGGGGTGGCGCGGTCCTTATCCCTAGGTCCTAAACCTAAACCCTAGACCTAAACCCTTAACGGCGGGGATTATTCAGGCTGCCCTGCTTTTGGGAACTCGCAGGCCAATATGTAGAAATGTGATTGAAGCGTGGTAGCTGTAAGTACCTGGGAGTTGTGGGTCAGGGTTTAAGGTTTAGGGCCTGGCGGCAAGAAGCATTTTCGTCATTTGGGGTGTAGAGAAATCATGGCAAAACAGGGAATCATAACAGCACAGAATAGCAAGAATAGCAATAATGCTACTTGAAGGTTCATGGGACTTAGTAACTACTTATAACTGGGCTTATAACCCTACTTATAACCTCCGTAAATGGCCTTATATGGGTTACCCCAATTATAAGTAGGGTTATAACCCCAGTTATAAATAGTTACTAAGTCCCACGAACCTCCAAGTAGGAGTAAAACCCTAAGCCCTAAATTCTACACCCAAATAGTTACTAAGTCCCATGAACCATAGACCCTAAACCCTAAACCCTAAACTCATATAGTTACTAAGTCCCATGTACCTGCTTTTAAGGAGGATAAAAGAGGAATGGGTAAGCTCATCCGGAGGTTCTGTCCTCCTGCTCTGCCTGGATGTCCTTGATGCTCCCCGTGACGTCACCCTGCTCATCTTGCTTGGCAGCAAGCTTACCTGGACCCCAACAGGTTTAGGGTTAGGGTTTCGGGTGTAGGGTTTAGGATTTAGGATTTAGGGTTAAGGGTTTAAAGTGGGTATAGAACAAAGGCCGGAATCCATAAATAGCTTCAAACGACAACTTTGGACATACTTTTGCGCCCCGGTACCTTCCAACTCTTCAATTTTCTGCTCTCTCTTCTCGAGAACATCCTGGTCAATGACATCGGAGCTGCTTCTGTACTCTTCGAGCTGTGCCTTATGGCTCTTCAGCCTCAATTGACTAGTGTTTCTTGTGGTTAAACCCAGTAAGATTATATTCCTTATATAAAATACTATACCCCAAAGGGAGGGTATACCCTTACTCTATATAGGGTACCATAGTATCCTCAAATAAAATACCATTCAATTGCTTTTGATGTGGGCACCATCTTGGGTCTAGGGTTCACAGTTGTAGGGATGATAGGGGACTTGAGATCAGCCACTCAGAACAAGAAACATGATGATTACTGTGGGGTTCGGGGCCAAGTTCCCATAAAATATAACTTGAGTGCATAAAAACTGGTTGTTCTTGCTATGGTGGCTAACTTCAAGTTCCTTTACTCCCTGCATAACACCTATAGAACCCAGTTTCCACGTTATTCTCTCTCTTGTGTTCCGTTTGATCGTCCAGTCTGGTCTTCAACAAATCTAAACTTTAAATCCTAAACCCTTAGCCCTACACTTTAAGACCCTGAACCCCTCAACTTCGGTTCCTGGATAGCATCCCAGCAACTTCTCCTCAATGTCCTCGATTTGGCCGTCGAGCTTCTTCTTCTTTGCCTTTTCCTGCGCATGGTTTTTAAGGTTTCGGACTGGCAGCTCAACCCGTAAACTCTGGAATCTATACCCTAAACCCTAGACTACATCCCAACCTTAAACCCTAAGCCCTAAACCCAAGAGCCTAAAGCTGGCCAAGCCTTGCCCATGCGCTTGCGGATGCCGTCCAAGGCTTTCAGCGACTGTACAGCCCTTTGCCTTGCAGTTGGCTAGAGTTGAAGGCTAAACGGCTTAGGGTTCAGGGCTAAAGGGCTTGGGGTTTCGAGCTACAGGGCTTAGAGTTTCGGGCTAAGGGCTTTAGGGCTTAGAGTTTAGGGAGTTTAGGGCCCTAGGGTTTAGGGCTAAGGGCCTGGGGCTTGGGGCTTAGGGTTTACGTCTTACGTTCTTAGGACCTAAAGTTTAGGCCTTAGGGTTTGGGGTTTACCGCTTGGGTTGGGGTTGGGGCCTTCATGGTTGAGGGAGGGGGGAAGTGAATATAGAGACATTCTAGGAGAATGGACTAGAGTTGGGGCTTACTACCACTGAGTGCCAACCCTAAACCCTAACCCTAAAACCCTAATCCCTTTACCCTAATCCCTTAACCCTTATCCCTAATCCCTAATCCCTAATCCCTGAAGTGTCAGCAAGGCTGCTCAATCCTCTTGTGGAAAGCGTCAAGGATCTTTTTGGCGGGCTCGTCCTTAGTCACCCTACCCTGGGTCACGCGGTTTGGGGTTTGGGCTCCTTACAGTACTTGGCGGGTTCAAGGAGACCCCCCTCACGCTCCAAGTAACAGTTGCCACAGTGGGTAATGAAAGTTATAGCGGTCCCTTAGTAAGACCTCTTTAAGGACAATTACTATAAGGGCGAATAGCCCAACCGAGACCGTAGGAAGACAAAGTATACTTTGTACTTTTGCAGCTGTGCAGAATTAAGCTCTTAAAACCCAAACCCTCAAACCGAAACCTCAAACCCTGAATCCTAAATCCGAAACCCTAAACCCAAATCCTAAACCCGAACCCCCTTAACCCCTAAACCCGCCAACCCCAAGCTTGGCCCAGTCTCCACATCCTCCAGGAGCTCTTCAGGGGTGATCTCCAACGTGATGAGTTCAATGGCCTTGTCCTTCACAAGTCTCAACACAAGGGCAATCTATCCCAAACCCAGACCCTAAAATCTCAAAACCCAAACTAGTAATTCGAAGAGGACGAGGTGTTACCTGGTTTAAGGTGAGCTTTCCCTATACCGAGCCATAAACCACCGTAAGCCCCTGTAAAGTCCCGGCTGCCACTTCATCTGCCACTTCTTTTCCTGTTGCTTATCCCAAGGCATGCTGATCAACCACCACCTACCCACTAGAACATCCCTCAAAGCGTTATTCATGCTCCTATAGGCGGGCTGTTAACTACCTACAGTAGGTCCTTCAGGTGACCTCTCTCACTCGTCATGCCCAACTGCTGCCAGATGAACTCCAGCAAGACTTTGAAGTTCCTTAGTTGTCCATGATCCGGCCTAATTCGGCTCAGGGTAAGGGTTACCTGGACCCCAAAAGTATGTAAAATAATTGCCTTTATGGCCATTATTGTGGGTGTAGGGCTATTATTGTACAACCTTATGGGGTTTAGGTAAGGGCTCAGGGTTGGGTGTAGGGCTTAGGGTAGGGTCGGGTTTGTCATGTTGACAAAGTTTAACGTTCAACTACACCAGGGTTCCGTACTGATCGCATGGGCAGCTGGATGTCCAGACTGACCTCGGACTTGAAGTAGTCCATGACAAAGTCAAACCTAGAGACCTCCGGCAATTCTGATCCACAGGGCTTCTCCAGAACGTTGGCCAAGTTTTCGGTAAACTTTGTCAGGTTCTGCAAGGCACTCTTGGTAGCTGCGCGTTGCATACGATCCGCATTCTTCATCTCAAGATATGCACGGACAGACTTGTACAACTGGACGAGTTGGTTGTCATTCGTGGTGCCCACATCGTTCATGAGCCTCTCGCGCTGTTCTGCGATCTTTCGAAGCTGACCGGAGCCAGAAGCGGATTGCAGACCTCAGCAAACCAAGGTTCAGGGTCTTGGGGTTAGGGCCTTGTACCTTCTCCTCCTAAGTAGTTGAACCTCGGGGCACGCCTTCTAGGTAACTACTATGTTACATATATATATATATGTACTATGTAGAAGCGGTGAGCTCTGCGACGCAAATCTCAGGCCCTGACGCTGCAGCGAAGCAACCAAGTCTTCGTGTGCTTTCTCTGTGGCCCTGAGTTCTTCTTCAAGACATGGGATTTGTTTCTTCTCGTATGCCAGAGCTTGCTTCCTCAACTCCTCACACTCAACTTCGTTTGCCTTCATGCAGGTCTCTATCTCCTTTGCACAGCTACGGTTGGTCTCAATCTTCTCGCTGATCAACTGACGCCTCTTTTCGGAGTTGGTCTGCTTCACCTGTTGCAGCCAATCGTGGTGGATCTTCGCACTGTTTCGCAACTTGGCGTAGGTCTCATCTATCTGAGCGAAGGCTTTGACCCTCTTCTCGTGTCGAGCATCGCGAAGTTCCTCCAAACACTGCAACCGTCGCTTGCCCTCAGACTCCCGCAGACTAACGGTAGATGCAATGGTTCGAAAAGTCTTCGGGAGACTGCGGGCGGAAGCCGAGACGAGCAGAGGATACTTCTGACCACTGTAAACATGTAGGCTCTTGCCTCCATTGCCAGCCTGCACAATAGGCTCCAAACTTGAAAGTCTAGATCTCCACCCTGTCTCCATCATCGATCCCAGGCAAATTGCGAAGGTGATGAGGTCATCGCGTTGCGCGAAAACATTGCCAGCAATGGCAGCTGCTCGGTCAACGTCACTGGACTCGCCATCCGTCATGAAAACAACAATAGGGCGCTGGAAGTCTGCTGTCAAGGAGACCACCTGGGAGTTTCTCAGCACCTCCCTAAATTACCTTAAGAAGAAGATGCATAAACTCTTTGCAGACCTGACGCATCCGTGGGTATGCTGAAGGCTAAGGGCCCCCTTTTTTGAGACATCCAACCTTCTGCACCTCCTGCCAGGCTGCCTCAAAGCAGGTACCTCCTGAACAGTCGTACTTGAAATCAGTGTTACCGCCGACCAGCGGCTCATTCGCAAACTCCACCTGCACCAAACAAGGCACCAATTCAAAGCATCCAAATATGAAGTTGGGTATGGGGCGTCGGCATGTTCCGTTGTCAGGTTCCAGTGACAAGAACTGCAGTGTCACCAGGTGCACTGAGGTATGTCACACCCATGTGAGCCATGGTCTAAACTCCGAGAATCCCGCTTAATAACCGTTGTAATATTGCCCTACCTACTCCCCTCTAGAGTTTGCCTGCCTTGGCCGTACTGTTGAACAGAATCACGCTCAGGCGGTCATTGGTGCCGTCGCCGTCCTTTATCCTGATCAAATTCAAACAATCCCAAGACCAGACATAGAGCCCTTTTGAACCCATTCCCCCTCTACATATACATAAGCCATTATATGGTGTGGGGTCGTAAGGATTTGCCCAGCTTATCCTCTCGGTTTTTAGGCTCTCGACCGCCGTCTGCGCTGCACGAGCCCTTGTGCCGGACTCCAGCTGCAATCCAGCACAAGAACAATGTGATTGCCGTTTGCCTTGCACTGGGGGAGCGTGATCATCCTAAGGCCTACTGTTATTCCTGATTATACGGTGGTTCCTAGGGTATTCTGTAATTCCTGAAGTATAAAAAATATCAGGTAGTGCTAGATTTCCTCCATCCAAAATGTTAGCCGGGCCGCAGCACTGTTCGCTTGCAGGATGGAGCTTTCGATGGTTGCCTGAGTGTCTTCGAACTCCTGCTTCTTCCTGTTGAAGGCTTCCTGTTGCTGCACGGAGCTTGTTATGGGCAAGTGAGTGGCTAATTTTCATGTTCCAACTGTTGGGCATGTACTGTTTGAGGCACTGGCCAAAAACACCTGGGGTTCTCAGCTGCAATCCGCACTAGCACTCACGCTAGCAGCTCAGCTAGGACCAAAAGAGAATGAATTGCGCTCAACACGAACGTTCTCTGTGCCAGGCACCTGCGCCGCATTTTGTTCATCCTTGCGATCTTGCTCCAGATTGGCGTTGTTGCTATCCCATCTGGTCTGGAGGTCGTCTACCTCCTTCCTGCGTCTGTCAGACGAAGCAAACACAGTTTCTGAACATTCTGCACATGGAAGTATAGTCCTCAAAGGAGAGCCCCCAATGGCCTCCTATTTTCAGAAACTCGCCCTAAACCGAAACACTCCTCAAACCCCAGGCAGCTTCAATCCTAGGCCCCAAGCCCTGAACTCTAAGCCCCAAGCCCTAAACCCCAAGCCAGAGATCCTCCAAGCATCAAATTCACCTTCCTGCGCTTTCTGGAGTGCATCAGCTTGGACACGCAAGGATTCCTTAGTTCCCAATGCCTTACACAATAAAAAAAGGACCCTGTTGTAGTAAGAAGAAAGGGATCCACAAAAAAACTGACAATCAATCTCTAATGTGAACTCAGATTCCCGCTTGTTCCCAAGATCCTGCAACATGGCCTCCTTCTCAGCGATGGCCTTTTGCAAGTCAGCCAACTCCAACTTGAACAACTCCAAGATGTGTTGGTCCGCGTTCTTCTTGTCAAGTTGCTGCTTTATGTGCTCTTGGAAGTTGCGAAACTCTTCCAAGGCTGCATTTGTTTGCTCATCGCCGCTGTTGCTCACCATTGCGGATGGAATCATCTTCTCGATGCTGACCAACGTAGATTGCCTTTGGCGCCTTCCAGTATCATGCTGGCACCACAGCTGGAAGTGACTGGCAAAGGCTGCAGCATATTCTTTGACAAGATTGATTTCATTCTTCAGGTCCTCGGGGTTGTATTTCGCCAGCTTGCCATCGGTGCTGTCCTTCAAAATTGTTCGGCCCAGCTTGCGGACAAGCTCTTTGGCTGCTGCGAGGAAGCCTTGGCAACTCCCACCATGAGCCACGAGCAGCTCCATGCTTTCCATCTTCTCACCTTCCAACGCAAGAAGTTCATCCCA